AGCTTGGCCAGATGGATTCCTAGCAGGAGCTCATCAAGCACACACATCAGAAACACCAGTTAGTTCTCCAATGACTTGAGTAACACTTTAGAGGGCTTTGAAATTTACACAGAACTTTTAAATCTGAGGAAAACAGAGCTAATATCTGTAGCATGTGAAAAGAGCAGCTAAGCTCTAAGGTAGTTTGTGTAGGAATACTCACTTCACCCACCTGAAACTGGACAAATGTGCAACCAGGAATACCAGTTTTATAGATCCAGAAGACAGCAGGCAAAAAATAAACCTGTCTTTAATCTGTGGCTCTGAACTCTGCCTCGTTTTATATGTACCATAAAAGTGCAAAGAGCAGGCTAATAAGAAAAAAAAGGTCTAAATGATGCTTAATGGAGACAGATAAAATAAGTAAACAATAAAGTCAAAGCTGAAGTGTTCTACCTTATTTTCTTGAACCTCTTAGCAAGATTCTTTATCTTTGAAAATTTGTTCCTTTGTAAAGAATAATGTTGATAGGATACTCAGAGAGATCACTGTTAGTAAGGAAATGTCAAGTTCAAAGTAAGACAAGGAGTTACAGGCTCGGGAATGTGTATGTAGTTTTTATAAAATGAAGTCTTCAAAGGACAGAGAGGGCACTAGATCTGGCAAAGAATGTAGACTGTACTGAATATAGATTGAAGGGTTGTTTCATTGCCCAATACCTTGCCTAAATGGAACATAGGCATATCAACAGTTTCTACCAGTAAGATGCTTTAGGCCTAAAAAATGTTCATGTGGAAATGCTCTCTACAGAAGTGCCAAAGCTCTTTACAGGTATCTTTTCATTAATTATTCCAAAACCTTCTTAAAGCATACACAGTGGAAAAAGAATAAATTTTGTTTTCTTTATTTGTATGTCTTTGTGGATAGACACATAGGTAATGAGAGTCTGTCAAAATAAAATACACTAGACTAAATTGTTTCCCTCTTAGATCAGTAACCCTTGGGGATGACTGATAAAATATAAATTCATTGATTATTTACATTTGCAATTTTACATACTGATTTCCTATCTGTATAATTCAAAACTCACACTACCTGGTGTGACATCACTGCCATGAGTAACAGGGATATTCCTTTTGCAATTTTAGGTGAAGGCTAAGAAATATCAGACTAAGAATAGAATAGATGTACTTCCATGCTTTCATAGGGCAGAAAGATTGTGAGGTTGGAGAGGTGAAAAGATAAAAACCCCACATCATTCAGTTCTCACATATCAGAGCAAAGCTATGATACATTTATGAATAAATCTGTTCTAATACCATTTCCAACTCCCAAGGAAAAAGAAGAAAAAAAAAAAACAAAGAAGAAAGCAAGAAAGCCAACAGAACAATGAGTGTCAGAAACCTTGATAAAAGACTTTTCTCACCAGAATTTGTACTCTGAATTTGCTAACATAAGAAATGTGGGTAGCACAGATAAGCCTTTTGCATTTTGGGTACTGAACCATACTGCTTTGCCCTAAATTTTTGAAGCATCCAATAGTTCCTGCAGTTATAAGTGTAGCTTTAATATCAAATTTATAGAGCAGAGCTTTTAAAGAGTTATTCAGACACTTATATTTTTCTTTAAAAAATGCTATTTCAGCAAAATGTAAAGCTGATTTCAAAGAAAGTTTCAGCTCTAAGTACTTCTCAGAGCCAAAGCATTTATTTAAAAAAAGAAAAATGAGGTTTAGCCTTTCATGTCAGAATAGCCAATATTTTTTCATATGGTTATCAATCTCTCAGATGGGGAATTTGTTTTTAAATTCAAGCTCTGATTGGTGAAGGGCAAAACCTGATAGTGAGCCCAGAGGAAGTCCTCTTACTGTTTTGACATTGGTCTTCTTCAGTTAATTCCTGGTTTTTTTTTTTTGTTTTTTTTTTTTTTTTTTTTTTTTTTTTTTTTTTTTTTTTTTTTTTTTTTTTTTTTTTTTTTTTTGTTTTGTTTTGTTTTGTTTGTTTTGTTTTTTTTTTAATAAATACACAGAGTCCCAGACGAATCACATTAGGGACAAAAAGTTTGCAATTTGCTTTCACAGGAAAAATTGTAAGGTGTAATTCTACAGTGTTCACAAATGCCCCCTTTCCGCCTTTTCCATCACACCCTGATTTACGTTTCCAAGCAGTGAAAAGGGGCAGTGTAGCTCCTACTCCTGGGATGAAACTAGTGTAGCACTCACTGATGGGGTCACAGCGGGTTGCACAGGTTTCTATTGCTTATCTCTGGATCCCTTCCTCAATGTTCAGCTTCCTTTGGATCCAACAAATAAGGAAGTGTTCCCATACTGAGGACTCTAGAGCTCTTTCCCATGATTCACCTCAAGTATTATTATGTAATAACTGGAATTGCCCTCTAAAGGCAACTGATCTCTCTCCATTAACCATTGAGATAGTTTACACACCCCTCTTAAACTATGCTTTATAGGTGAAGATGAATCACATTTTTTTTTGTTTTGTTTTTGTTTTCAAAACAAAAGGTGGGAAGAGTAACACATTGCTACATCCACAGACTCTTGTAAAGATAAACACATTACAAAGGTGGAAGAATCTGTGTGGTAATTACTGGATCAAATAAATGTTATAAGAATACAGAGCTTATGATTTTAGAAAGATTTATATAAGACCTTGGACAAATGCTGACCCTGGTACATCATGGCAGCTTCAGGTATGGTAGGACCTGGGTAATCACAAAACCACCAAACACAAAAGAAGTTTGTTACTAAAATATTTCTCCTTACTGTAGTTTAATGATTAAAAATAATGTACCTACACCAGGCTAATGTGTTTTCTTCTTTAAGGAAAGTATATTAGGATTGTGTTCTTCACCTTTGTCATTCTTCACGTCTCAAAAAATGAAGTCAGACCAGTGAAAAGTTAAAACATTCACCAATTGCAAGACTGGTGGGGGTCTCCAAAACCAGCAGAAATGTTTGATGCAGTAAAAAATGGAATTTTAAACATTGGAGTGTTTCAGATCACTTGTTTAATCTTGGTAGGTGACAACAGAAATCTAAGTACAGGTGAAATCTCTTCATTTTCAGAGCTGACCTATAATATTATGCAACATTTTTCATTTCCTCACTTTTAGATATCCTAAATGAGAATGACTAAACAACCTCTTTTCTGGGCCAAAGTTCTTTAGTCTGTATCCATTTAAATGATAAACCCTTTTCATTCTGCTGAATTTTCTGTTTCAGATTCATTGCCTGCACTAAATTGTCCCCAATATCCTGGTTTATTCAAGACCCATTCACTCACAAGATAGCCCTAAGACATTAAAACTGGTCAGCACATTGCTTGGAAAATAAATCCTTTGCTACTTTCTCAAACACATTTGTCTCCTTAGCCCTGAAACAGTTCTTATCCAAATCAATACTGGTATCGGGATAATTAAAATCTGCCATGTTTAAAGTTTTGGCATTCTTGCAGACCTCTCTTATCTATGAAACCATTTCCTGACAGACTGCTTAATGCCCTTGAAATCCAGGGCTACATTTTTAAATCATCTCAACACCATAGTGCACTCTTTTATTCAAAACCTGCCTACCTTAGCTGAAATATTTTGATAGTTGCTTTAACTTTTTCTCTCTTACTGACATTGACTATTGTTTCCTCTTTGGTTGCCTATACTTGTCCACTCCTGTTAAATTTTTAATCATTTTCCCAATTCAATCATGATTGTACTACTCTGTTTTTAAAGTTTCAGGGAAATACATTTCTAGATCAGAAATGACGATGTGCCATCTTGTTACATTTACGAGACAAGACTTTAATTCTCTTATTGAAATCCTCATTTGCAGAGAACAACAGACAAAACAGAATCCTATATGGATAAGACACTGAATGTTTGGGTGCTGCTCAAAAAGTACATTGATATTTACTAACTTTAAACATGCTAACAGTTTTATTGACTTGGCATTAATAATGTGCCATAAGGTAGATGTTTAATTAAGTATCTTGCTGACTTGGCATATCAGTTCTTTTGCAAAAGGGATTTAGCTTTAACTGGTACAATTTCTATTGTCAACAACTGACACATCAAGAACTCCAGGTTCAAGAAGTAAAACAGTTCACATGTTAGGATCTAGACAGTTTTTCTATAAAATTGTCTTTTTTCGCTTTGCTAATCTAAAAACTGGCCCAGGTAATTTTCCATATTAGGAGGAAAAAAAAATCAATACATGATTATAAAATTGTATTTCTTATCTTCTAGTGCTGGTGCTATCAGTAAAAATCTGGTTATCACAAACCATCCAACCTTCACAAGGTTAGTGTGAATTTGCAGTATGGTTGTTGTATCTGTGCTATTTTTTTATTATAGAACTGCTGCATGTACCTTTTAATTTGGTTGTCAGGGGAGACAGGAAGCAATAATTAAGGCTAAAAGATGGGGTATGGAAGCTTTATTAAAGGATATATTGAAGATGGGAATTTGATCTGAGAATTAGATTATGATTAGAGTTGTTAATGCAGCTGTGCCACTCTTGAGTGACAGAGCAGCAGATGAACTGAACAGGCAATTATAACTACAGGAGTCTCCCTAATCTTTACAATCCCAACCTCACAGTCACATCCATTTAAATTAATTTTCATGAAGGCTGCAAATTTACAGCTTCACCAGATTGGAAATTTGTTTGTTTATTATCCACAGGAAATATTTTTAGGGAAGTAAATAGCACTGAGAGCCATCTTGTCTTTCTGCTTGTCTTTTTAACTTGCAGAATTAATAATATGAGATTAATCTGAAGGCTGCTGCCTTTATGAAAACTGATTGATTCTCAGCAGCCCAGTGTTATTATGATTATCTGTGGGAAGGTCAGAGGGAAGGCATGTAAAAGTCATAGCTGATTCATGAGTTCCCTATATTAAGCAGAAGATAAAAAAAGGAGGCTTGTGTTGATCAGCGTTATAAGTGAGGAATCAGTCTTCCTTGCATTACCGAAACTGAAATTCTAGGAAAAGGATTTTAAGCAACTTTGGACATAGTTATTTAAAGATGTCTGTTGAGGAGAGATAGCAATAGTTCATTACTATGCATGCTGAAAACCTTTTTAAGGAGTTCTTTGCTGCACAAAGATTAATTTACCACTACGTTTTCCCTCCTTCACTACTAATATAAATAATGGTTGTGGCTTAAATTGGCATTATATTTTGATAGACTAGTTTTTAACATACAAAAGAATATGCTACAGAACTGCTAAGAAACTTGGAAATGGAAACCACAAAACATCATTCTTCAGTTCCAGAGGGGGTTTTTTTTGAATGTCTGTAATGAATGGAATAAGGTGTGAACATTTAGAAACTAGGCATTGTTTTTGCAAAATGTTGAGCAGAGAGCTGTGGCAAGGAAAAAGAAAATGGTCACTTCTAAAAATCAGTGACAGGAAAAAAAATTCTCTACTGGTTGCCATTCAAGAAACCTGGAAGATAATTGTAGAATATGATCATCTGCAGTTGCCAGATCAACAAAACACCTGACTTTAAGAATGCAAAAATTCCCATCCAAAAACAGGCATATAGGTATGCCTCATCTTCCCAAATACTGTAGTTTTTGCAGCAGCCTCATCCTAACTCCCCAACAGAATAAGACTCAATCACATGTCATCTTCATTGCTGACAATTTCTTTCAGAGGGAAATGTGGGTTAGTACTCTACCAGGAAGCTGAGGTACATCCTTACTGTGTCTCTGATCTGGTCATCTAGGTGACTAGGTCAGGTAATACACTAGAATTTAGCTGTAACCAGGGTAGGTTAATAAAATTCAAAGCCTAGAGACTGCCCAGTGAACCTACTTTTCACAGAGTACAAGCTCAAAGTATATTCACAATTAACTGAAGTGGGAATCTCAAGGTTGGTCTAACGTGGTTCTAGTTATTTTACTAGAAAGTGACATACTAGAAAGTACATCTTAGATTTCCTATTTTCTGTATAACAGAGGAACATTTATTTTCCTATGAACTTGAAAATGTCAGTCTGGTGTCGTTTTATATTCAAGTAGGTTATTTACATTCTTCTGAAGAAAATTGCTGAAACCAGTTATAGGAAAAATGTTGATACTACATCGTAATATCTTTGTTCAATGTCAATATTTTAAGTTATTCATATACTCTCAATTGATCTGAGGTGGGAGACTAGGGGTCAGTGAAACAGAATACTTCATAAAAGCAGCTGACATGAGAATGGCTCCTGCAAAGAAGCCATGGTGAAATATATATTAAAAAAATATGAAAAATGGTGCTGGAATTAGATAAGCAAAATATATTAACAGTTGGAAGTATTGGAATTCCTTTTGTTATGACATACATTCATTTTTTTTTTCAGAAGATTAATATATTTGAGACTTGTACTTTTTCAAGATTTGGATTTATTTAAGAAATGTTGAATAATTGCTGTCATATTTCGTTTATTTACTCAGCTAGATAACCTGCCTCCCTTGATCTTAGCATTTCTAGGACAAAGCTTCAAGGACAACATCTAGCATATTTTTTCCAGATGCTCTGTTTTAGTAGGTAGCTTCAAAGTTCATCTTCTTTTAGCTCAGAATCCGTATGGGATAACAGAAATATGTCAGAATGCACAGAAAAATATTTCTGAGAGTTTTTTTTTTTTAAATTTAAATCTTTGTCAACTCCTAAATACACAAATTGATTTTCTCTTGCAGAAACAAAAAGATATTCATTGATCTAAAATATGATGACAAAAATCAGAGAATTGCTGTAACTTGAGAGAACATGTTTGTCCTTTTTTTTTTTTTTTTTTGAGGAAAAGTAATTCAAAAGCAATTTTTGGAGATTTATTTTAAGCAATTTATAATTCATTCAAACTGTTGTTGTTGGCATAATTTGAAAACATTCATCATATGTTTAGTCAAGTCACATACGGAATAGAAAATTGGTATGCACAAATGTCTGGCAAAAATCTGACGAAACTCTGCTCCTGTTATTTTATTTTCTCATCACTCTTCCTGTCTTTGATTACATTGTGTAATTATGACTCCTCAGTGTTTCCTCATATCCGAATATTAGTTGATTAATCTTGATGATAATGGATTGAAAACTGGTTTTAAAAACTAAGTATATGAAGTATTTTATTCAAGAGGTTATGACTAATCTTTTTAAAAATCCTTGACTTATTTGGTAATTATACTATTTTTAGAAGTGAGTACTTATCAGCTGATGCTTCTAAGAAATGTGGAATAGATGAGTGAGATTTTTTTTCTTTCTCTAGAATTTATTGAATATTTTAACATTGAGGGTGATAGGTTTTGTTCTGAAATACATCTTCCTTGAGTAGGGACAAGAAGCAAAACTATTTAGTTGGACAGAGTTCATGCTGCATCAGAGATCTGTGCCAAATAGAAGAGAGATTCACCACCACTTCCCTAATGCAGAGGAATTTTCTGGAAGGAATTGTCATTACAGCTGCTGCATATATTTTTTTTTTTATCCCTGTGAATCTGTCACTACCAAGGGGTAAAGGATTTCTGCTGTTTTTTCTGGATTTGTGTGAGCAGGAAGAATATGAAACTGAGCATTTTCACCTAAATTATGGCTCCTTAGTAAGAGGAGTCAAAAGTACCTTTGAGTGCCTGAGAAATCTGATCCATACAACAGATATATTTCTGTGTTAAACCACTTTTGAAGGTTGAGATCATTCAGTTCCTTTTCCTTTTCTTTTTAGAAATTAGAGTTTCACAGATAGGAAGTTTGCAAGGTCTGATTCAAAACTCACGATTATCAGCAGGAAATCCACCCTGTTCCATTGGTAGCGCAATTTGTGACACATTAAAATGCATATCTTTCAACAACTTCATCAATTGTCATTATTTTAAAGTTTGTATGTTTCTAATGCATAGAAATAATACTGGAATAAATATGTAGTCATCTTACTTATGGCTTAAAACAATAGGCATCTGAGTAGTTTTATTTGTGGCACTGTGACCTGGTCTTTTCCCTATATAAGACAAAAATCCATTGCCTATCTGCTTGAAATATACTGAAGATTTCTAAACATCAGCCAAGATGCAAAGGTAAGGTCAAAATACTCTTGGATGTAAAAATCCATATTGATTTAATTATGATAATAGTTTGTCCTAACACCAACATCATTGACAAAAAAAAATGTGTGTCATTATCCAGTACAGTAAAGTACATAGAGACACTCCCAATCCCCAAAACCCCAGAAGCTCTTTGATTTAGATTTTTGTTTTAGATCATTATACGACTGACAAGTTATCTGAATAAAGAAAGGCAAAACCATCCCTGGTGTTGCCTAAAAAAACTATTCTTTTTAATGATGCATGCAGGTTACTGCTCAGTTTAGGCACCTTCACAAGTCAGTGTGCCTTTTCACTCAATTCATGGAAAGTACATGTTTCTTCAATGTAACCAAAGTATTTAAATCCGTTTTTAAAGGTGCTAAGCATTTAGATGCTTTTGAAAGTTCAACTAGGTAAATATCTTTTTTATCATCCCCCAAAGCTTTTTGAAAGCAGGGAATAGATTTATTGATTAATACAGATGAAAAATACAGCCAGGGTAAAATCCGACTTATCACATCAGGTGTTCTTTAATTTATTTTAGTTCCTTGATCCTTAAGAAAGCTGCTTCTCTCTGCAATCACCCAGTGATCAGTTCCAGATCTTCAAAGCTCACAGTTTAGTCTATGCACCTAATTTGAGAGAAAGAAACTGCATCATAAACTTGTATCAGTTTAAGTGTGTAAAAGCTCCAGGAAAACTTCTAAAATAAAGTTCATTAAATTCATAAAATGCTGTCAAACAAGAAACTTCCTTCTGATGGCATGATTAATTTGTTGGTTATGATAGATCTTCAGAAAAAAGAAAAATATCTTTTGATATTTTGACAACCTCAACAGCAATGGGAGAACCTGATTTGAACCAGGGACTTGCAGCTAATACTGAAACAACGATACAGGCTGAAATGAAGCAGCAATACTAACTTTGATAATCTTCTGACACATTTAAGAGGAAGAAAAAGTAACGTAATATACATTAAAAAGTCTGTAAGCCAGGGATATTTATGATGTTCAGTATTCAAAAGCAACCTAAAACCAGGTGGCACACTAGATCTGTAGCTCCATGGATGTTTCTATATTTACAGTAAAACATATGTTGTGGGAACACAGTTATGCCACATATTTTTTTGTTGAACTAAGAAAGTTGTGGGGGTTTTTGTTTTGTTTTTGTTTGTTTGTTTGAATTGTGCTACTTCATGGCAAAAGATGTACTACATCATTTAGTTATTCTCATTTCTGTATAAGGGTAGAAGGACAATTTAGAGTTACAATAATATCCTCCCATGCAGCATCATGTGGGTATTATATGCATTTCTAGAAAGCAAATAGTTCTTATACTTTTTCATAAATGAGGAGCTTTGGTTTGAGAGAGGTAAATCAGGGCACAGATATTTTTAAAATCACAGAATAATAATAGTAGACTGTAATAATTGTTAATAATTAAGCGAATCATGTATTCAGTAGCAAGGAGTAAATCATGCAGCTCAGTAATTTCAGGGTTAAAGTGTTCATTTCACACATATTATGAAATATCTGCAATAAATTCAAGTAATTATGCCATTAAGCAGTTCCTCATCTATTGAATTAATTAAACTTTGTGTTCATTTCATAACCTCTTTAGATACCCTCAGTTCCTGCAGATTTAATCTTTTTTTGAACCTTTCTATATTTAGTTTTCTGAAGATTGACTAAGACCAATCACTCAGCACTGTAAGAATGAGATTGTTCTCTTACTTCATTATGCTATTCTTTTCCCCCACATGCCACCTCTTTTTTTTGGTACTCTGAGTTGTGAAATCAGGGCACCTGTGTCAAAATCTCCTGAAGGTCTATAAATGGGAAATGCTATTCCATATGTATAGGAGGTTTGGTCACACTGCAATGTATTGCAATTAATTTGTTTCTTTTTTTCATTTTCATTTAAGGGCTTTGTCATCTTCTTGCTCAACATTTTCTGAGATTCATCTCAGTAGCACAGTAAATTGTAATTTAAAAAAAAAAAAAAAAAAAAAAAAGAAACCTGTGCTATCTCTCCTGAAAATTTCAAGGGGTATATTCTCCCAATATTTTGCTTGCTGTACTGTTCAGTATCTAAAGAAATCCAGTATTTATACTGGATGGAATCAACTAATTTCAATGCATGACTTTCAGCATCCAGATTTCCAGTTATCATCATCAGTAAGAGTAGTAAATATATCATTGTACTTAGTATTAAAAAAAAGAGAGAGAGAAAGAGAGAAAAGGATTATTATACATTATCTGAAGACAAACAAAGAAAACAGCAAATAACTGACATCTTTCATTCTGCTGCCTTGACTTGTTATGGTGTCAGTCATTTCCATTATTTGTTGCTCTACCTGAGAAGAATTGGTGCTACTTACCTTGGGATAAAGGGGATTAGGACAAGAAAACTGCAAAATCTATGCCTTTTTCCAATAGAGGTTGGAATTTTCTCTGCACCTTTTGCAACAGGGTGTAACTGCTTCTTGTCTCCAGTTCATACACTTGTTATGTTGGAAGCAAGGCAAGGCCTTCAGCACAACTTCTTATCTTGTATAATTAATTTCATTTGGGAGGAAAGATCATAGCAATAAAAAAGCAAAAGTTACAGTACTGGAAATGAATAAGAGAGAAAGTGAGTCTGATACTGTTTCTTAATGCAAATAATAGATATACTACGTTTTTCCCAACAAAGAAATTAAAACTTAGTCGGACAAAATCCTTTCTGTGTCCTCAAATCTATCTTTATTCAGTAATGTGCTAAAACAATGCATAATAATAGATATGAAATAAAATTCAATTAAACACAAAATTGAGAAATAGACTGTATAATAATTTCTTTGGCAAAATGTCTGATCTTCATAGATCATCGTGGATTTCCTTTTCTAAATATCCTCCTCCCCCAGACCCCTTCCCCAGCATGGAGGAAACTTCCTTATGTTGAGGAAAATTCTTTCCTGCAAAATTTTAAATCCAGTGCTTATCATGTTTTGCCTAATTGGCTTGGAAACTATTTACGTGATGATAAGTTCCTGCAGGGTTTAGATAAATTCAGAGTATACTCTCTGTTAGTCTGTTAATTCCAGTTCTGGTCATTTTTACTACTAGATATGTTGTAATTCTTGGAAAGAGCAAAGTGGCCAACGAACACTGTCCAGCAAGAAGGAAATTGTAATATTTTTGAAGTCTGAAGTTGGACAGACACAAATCCAGTGCCACTCTTATCTGGCTAGGATTTGGTGTGTTTATTGTGGCTTCTTTCCAAGCATTATATCAAAAGTGTAACTTGTGATAGCCCCAAAAAGACAGAGTCACAACATTCTGATTAAACTTTGATGTTTTTACATTGGGAAAGGTTTGTACCTGCTTCTGGAAGCAGCCATCAAGCTGTATATTAAAGAAGAGCAAGACAGTGTACGACTGGATTGTGCCCAGAAATGTGCTGCTTTGCACAATAACAAGAAGTCACTGCACAATAACGTGAAGTCACTAAACTTTATTTTGCATGTAGCATGTTTATAGAAGCAAAGTCTGTAATGAGCTTTTTTTGTGGATAACTGTGCCTAAGTAACTTGGCTAAAGCAGGTTTTTGACAGATCACTGTTTTTAGCTAAGGATTTCTGTATCTAGATGACAGAACAGGGTCTTCAAATCACCAAATTGCAGCTGCACTTTAATCAGCAAGATCCTTGAGGAGATGAGTATCCAGGCAACCCTGTGGAAAAGCAGCAGTGAAGGAAATTGTTCGGCACTGTAGTCAGTGGGAGGAGACCTTTGGAAAGTTGGAATTAACGCAGATTAAAAGTCCAACTGTGGCTTTCCAGCTCTGTCTGGATGCAGTAGGGCTGTGTGCAGTAGTCAAGGGACTGCTTTCTGCACGAGGTGCATGGACCTCTGCTGGGAGGAGCAAAGTCCTCTGCTCATACCGATCTTTCAGAACACATAAAGTGCACTTCCCCTTGGTGTTACTCAGCTCCTCCAAACCCAGACTTCGTTGCTCTCTTCTCTTTATCCAGGGTCAACACTAGAGCTGAGACCTGTGACATAGCACCAAGGTCTGTATTTTCAAGCAAAAATTAGGTAATTCCCTCACAGCTTAATGGAAATTACAAAATTCACAGCTAGGTATGCCTTTAGTAATGTCTTTTCATGATACCACAGTGGAAAGTATTTCACACATATACCCACCAGGCATTTAGAAATGTCTAATCCACAGATACCATAGCTTTTTCTATTGTTTACTCCGAGGAAAAGAAGAAATTGCCCCGTGCTTATGGCTACTGTTATGTTTCCAACAGTGACAACAGAGGAACTATTTCATATTTACTTGAACATTACTTAGGAAAAGATTTAGTCCACAATGCCTGAGTAATTGTCCAGAATCTGTACTGATGGATTAAGCCCTGAAAGTTGCATATAACCCACTATATCACAGGAAACTATCTCGCAGTTAGATGGCATTCTTTAAAGCTTTGTTGAGAAGTAGGATACTGTAAAAATATTTGCTGCTCCTCTAAGTCCTTTGTCAGTAGTTCTGTAAGATAAAATCCTTTCCTCTCGTGGCCGACGTTCTGTTCTAGTGAATTGTCTTATGAAATTGTCAGTAATGCAAGATACAAGAACTGATATAACAAATGAAATTAAGCTTGTTTTAAAAATCACTAATGATTTAGTGCATTTGTTCTGTGGTTCACAAGGCAAATATTGATTTGACATAATACAAGCTATAGGTCTATAACATCTTGTAAGGGGTAACAGTAGAAAAATGCAATGCAGCAAGCTCATTTCCTTTTCTCAGTGACATTTGCAACTTTTTGAGAAACAAGATACTGAGATTGTCTCTCCAGCTGACAAGAAATTGTTTCAGTGGCAGACACTTCCAGATGATCAGTTTATCTCTGACCTCAGGTGGGGACTATCCAAGTCAATTTGTACCTAGGCTTGGAATAATTGTAGTTTCTATGTTAATCACCCCAGGAGGTCTCAACCAGCTCTTTTGTTGGCTCTTGAAATACGCAAAGAGGAGCAGAAGCAGCTGAAGAGCAGTCAAGTATACCGAGAATGTGCTTGGAAAGCAGGATTGAATCTGCAGTGTGAGAGGATTGCTTAGACAAATTTGGAACTGCAAAATATTAAGGAATCATGGCAGAGAGCCTCCTGTGCTGAAAAGAGTGAAGTTGATGGATGTAGTTAGCAATGCTTTTAGTGAGGAGAGTCAAGGAAGCTCATGGGTGGATGAACATTGTGGAAGAGGTAGGAAGCACAGCGGAGAAAAGGTTGTAATGGAGGGGGCAAAGCACCCTCTCTGTCAGTCCTACTGTGAGGGACACACATGGAATGGTTGGCATTTGAAAGCTGCACATTGTCCTTCTGGCCCTTTCTGGAATTTCCATGCTTCAGCTTTCAGTTTATCAAATTCAGATGAGCCAGTGGGTTCATGCGGTTCAATCACACATTCAAGTCAGCCAGATTTATTGAGTTAGTGCCTTCTACTTCCAGCTGAAATAAGCAACACATTCACAATGCTGCTTCATCTGTAAATAGTCTGTAAACAGTATGATTATAGCAATAGCAACAACAGAGGTTCTATCTCTACGCCAAGTGGGATTGAGATTTTTTACCCTCCATGGGAAGAAGTGAGCTCTTTGTTATTAGCTTTCATCATCAAAGTTGTCTCAACATGAGGGAGATCTCATTTCACTGTTGTATTATTTTAAACCCTAAAGGGATCCTAATGACAATCTATGGTCTAAGATGTTAAGAATATGGAAACTCCATTCCTTAAGGCTGTGCTGGTGGCAAATTTTGCTGTCATGTAAAAAACATCTGGGCTTTTGCTTTTCTATCTAATGAAAAGACAATTTTTAGACTGATATGGTTGTATCTTCTTTGATTCTTTCAGACAAGCACATCTACTGCATAACTCGTTTCCTACAACTAGAATACTTCCTTGTGATGTACCTTTCATTATAATAAAATGCACAAGAACTCCAATAGCTGGATGTGAGATGCATTAGCGGCTACTATTCTGAGCCTCAGCAAAAGAAGAGATTAGCAAAAAGTTTAAATATAGGGAGTGTTTCCTTAAGATGATAAAAAAGATGATAGCAGATGAAAGAAACAAATTATGAGACTAACAGTCTACAATCTAATCATATAAATATCTTGATATAACTAGCAATACAGTTCTCATCTGTATCTTCATTAAAAAAATCAGCAACACTAACATTAATGAGAAGATAAAGTCTTTCTTAAAAGAATTGGGATGATATTCTTCTATGCAATAAGAAATAAAGGGTCATCAAGTTTCTTTATACATTTGCCAATATTACAACATGCATATGATCAGATACTCTTACAAATTTATTCTTGCAAATTTTTTAGCATTAGAAAGATTTCTAGAAATCATTTGTCTTCCTTATCTTTCAGAATGTACAAAATAACAAGTGTCTTATGTGCCTTTTAAAAAGTACTCAGTTATTTTCTATAATAAGAAATAATTGTGTATAATGGCTGAAGAATGTGTATGTCTAATGCTGCTGTTGGTCTCTTTCTGATTTCATCTCATACTTCACTATACATGGAGTTCACCCTGCAAGGTATTTTTCAACAGTCCTATCAAGCAATTTTTGCAACAATTGAGGCCTTAGCTCTTTATTTCTATGTACTGTTTAGCAAGTTTTGTCCCCATGTGCTTTCCTTCCCCCATATATTCACCTGGGGAAAAAAACCCCTATTTTCACTTTTTGCACTGAAGACCATTTCATTCTCAATACAGTGATGTCACTCAGCTCAGGTCTGTTTAGTGACAGATCTATGGCAAATCAGATCAGTCAGCCATGAGGGTCTTCAGGAATGAAAGGTGCCTTCTTGTGTGAGAGGTGTCAGTGCTGAATCATTAAATCTTAAAGAATAAAAAAGCTGATTCTCTCCTTCTCACCTTATAGCAATTCAGCAGTTTTTAATGGCAGAAATATACAATCTTATTTATTAGTTCCAGTAACCCAGGGACTCTCATTTTAGTCAGCAAGCTGTGAATCACCCACTGGGCATCTGACATATACTGCAGGACTTCACGAATTTAAGACAAATTAGACTCAGTTATTAGAGTCTCATCTTAGAATCTGTGTTTGTTTATAGACTGCTTAGCAGCTATGAGTAGAGATTTACCAAAGCTATTTTCCATGTACATAAAGCACAAATTTGTTAAAATAGACTGGTTAATGAAGTTAAGTCCTGGAATTATTCTAACTACTGTAAGGCAAAGTCTGCTTAATTGTGGTAATGAGATACTTGATGAGAGTCAGGGCACTTCTTGAGGTACGAATGTGTAAATACCATGGGTATGTCAGCTGGAATGCCATGCTGTTGAAGCATAAAGAGTATCTCAAGGCATTTTCTTTTTTCTTTTGCTTTACATTGCACAGAATTTCTTCCTTGTGACAATGCTTAGGACTGCAAAAGGCCTAGGCTATGCTAGAAATTTCGTTGATGAGCTGGAACACACTAACAAATACATGTTTTTTCCGTTTCACCATTTCATACTTAGGAACTGCAAAGAAGCAAAGGTTTTGAAAGTTTTGCATATTTTTGAATTGTATTTTATTATTATAATGATAATGTTTTAAATTAACAAATAAAATTTAACCTGAATGGTTTTTTGCCTTTATCAAACTTCTGTTGTTTTTTGTGGTTTTTGGAGATCAATGGATTCAGAGAGGCATCTTCCCAAGTTCTTTGAATTTCCTAAGCAGCTGATGAGTCCATGGTGACTGTCAGGGCAAGGCAGTGTTTGAAACTTGCAGAATAGATGCTGTTAGACACTGCAATAACAGGTTTGTGACAATTGGAATTCCTAATAATTCACAATATAAAGCTTTGTGTTAAATTCATCTACCACTTCCAAATGGCAAATTGCCTAACTACAGTGTTTCTTGTATAGAAATATGCAAAATAAGATAAACTTGGCTCCCTGCCAAATGCCCAACCCTCCAGTAGCAGCCCCTCTCTTCCCCCCTTTCTACTTCCCTCAGGGCAAAGGAAAAAAACTATGCAAATTGAAGAACCTGAAAACCAAGCTGGTTATATATAAAAAAAATATATTTTATGTATATTGCAGTTAAGATGTTATGTACACAGTAAATGGGAATCCAAACACCCCCCGAAGGGATAGGGGAAGGGGAAAAAGGGACAAAAGGAAACAAAAAGGGACACCAAATAGATATGCGTAATCAAATCCGAGAACTAGTAAAATAACTAGTAAAAAAAATTTCACCACGTCCCTTAGAAAGAAACAGGATTGACACACACACGGCCAGCACTCCCCAAGCCTCCACGTGTCAGGTCAGTGGATGCTGCAGGCCTCAGCCTTAGATAAGCGAGACCAACGCAGGGACCCACTGTTCCCGAACTTCGGCGGAAGAGAAGAGAGAGCAAAGGCCTCTCCTCCCTTCTTATTTACACCATGATTTATGTAAAAATCGTATGGAATACTGGGAACACTGCCTCTTCCTTGGTTACAAACTAGTAACCAGGGAAGGCCTAGATTAAAACCACCACAACTGCAAATTTTAGTTATACTTAAAATACAAAACTTTTAAAGGAGAAAGTTTTTCGAGATATAATTACTATTATGTACATTAAGATTGTACATATGAACCATCATAAAAGGTGGCTTTCTCCTGCTGATGTAAGAGTTAACAGGGAACACTTGCTGCTTCACATACCTTCAGAGGTAAGTGTCAAACAAAACATAACAGAAGAGATAGAGGCAGAA